CGTCCCATTCTTCCATTGTTGGACCAAGGAAGCTCGGGTGGGGCAATTTTTCGAGGGATTTTCAGAGAAAACAACGGGATAAGTGTTCTTAACTCAATTTTGGTTGGATTACTCGAATCCATCGTTGTTTTTAACATTTAATTGGTGATTTTAAGTTGGAAAACTTTGAAAACCCTCTTGGATAGATTTGAGGATTTGAGGGTCAGAATGTTATTGGAATTTAGTAATTTTGGTATGGTTGGACTCGTGGTTGAATGGGTTGTCGGACTTTGTGAGTTTCGTCGGAATCCGAGGCGTGGGCCCGGAGGCCGGGTTTGGCCAATTTCGGGATTTTTGGTATAAATGGGATAATTTTGAGTGGGCTTTGTTCCCTTAGCATATTTTGATGGTATAAACCTGTTTTTGGATAGATTTGGAGCATCCGGAGGCCGATTCGAGAGGCAAAGGCATCGGGGGCTAGAATTTGGACTGGATTGAGGTAAGTAATGATTGTAAATACTACTCTGAGGGTATGAAACCTCGGATTTCACATCGTTGTGCTACTTTGAGGTGATGCACGAGCTAGATGACGAGCGTGGGGTCGTGCACCATTGGGGATTGTGACTTGGTCCATCCCGTACGAATATTAAGTCGCGTATTTTACTTGAAAACTATTGATATTGCTGTATTTTTGGAAAATATTATTGTGTTTGGGGCTAAATGTCGTGTCTGGGCCTTGTGCCGATTGTTTGGATCCTTAGGGGCTTTTACTACTGTTTTACCTCTCTGTTTTGGTTTAATGTTTACACTCGGTCATGTTATGTTCTTACTGTTTTCATAACTCGGTTTTATTCACTCCTTTTGATTTCATAAATAATTTTGAGCCGAGTATTTGTTTTACTGTCAGCCCGAGGGGCTTGAGTGAGATCTGACTGAGTGAGGCCGAGGGCCTGTGTTGTGAGGATATCATGGGATCGGGCTGCGCGCCGCAACATGTGATACCGAATTCTGATATATGAGAGGCCGAGGGCCTAATTTATTATGCCACGAGGTGGCTTGTGATTGATATGAGACCTAGAGCCTGTTTGATTATGCCACGAGATGGCTTGATATTGCGCTTGGGTCGTAAGGGGCCCCTCCCGGAGTCTGTACACCCCGTGGGTACCTAGTGTGTGTGATGTGTTGTAGCCCGAGGGGCTGTTGTTGTTTCATATTGAAGCCCGAGGGGCTGTTTTTGATCCATGTTGCCCGAGGGGCGGTTCTTGATTCATGTTATGCCCGAGGGGCAGTTTATGGTACATGTTTTGCCCAAGAGGTTGTTTATGTTACTATCATTTTTACTCACTGTGTTTATCACTCGTTTGAAACTTTTGAAAGTTGTTTTAAAAGGTTTTACCGAAACTGAGCATGATTTACGAAGTAAATGATTTCTGTACTGTTTTGAAAATGTACTACATTTACTGTAGCGTCATGACGTGGCTTACGTGTTTTCTTACTGCTCAGCTTTCATTTACTTTTATTACTTACTGAGTTGGCGTACTCATATTACTCCCTGCACCTTGTGTGCAGATTCAGGTAGTTCTGAACCCGGTAGCGGGTGTTGATTGCTCAGTGGCAGAGTCATTGGAGTTAGCAAGGTAGCTGCCCGACGTTCGCAGCACTGCTTTTCTCCCTCTTGTCTTCCTTAGACTGTATTTAGTACATTTTAGATTCTTAGCTGTGTTCAGACCTTAGTAGATGCTCGTGACTTGTGACACCCCGATGTCAGGCTTGTATATTTATTCCGCACTGTCCATTTAGACTTATGTTATGAAATATCTGATTAATTAAAGGCTTAAAATGATTGTTATTGATTAAAAGGTTAAATTCGGGAGTTGTGTCGGCTGGCCTAGTTTCACGATAGGCGCCATCACAACCGGGTCGGTTTTAGGGTCGTGACACGTACCATTTTAGATCTTAATTGCATTTAGAATCAAATTACATTAGTTAAGTGCATTATCAAATGAAATAATCACAAAAAAATACATAGTTATTTTTGCATTTTTAGCTTTTGGTTTTTAAAATTAATGATTTTTGCTAGTTTACATTGGTAAGATAATTAATTAGCTAATTGATAGAAAATAATAATAATAAGCAGGTCAATTTTGCAAACCTAACACCCATTAAAGGACCCACTTCCCCAAACCCTAAGAGGAGGAAATCAGATCCCCCCTTAAACACTAAGAGCCCATTTGGCTTAGCAGATTTAAAGTGGCTGATAAGTGATAGATGCTGAAAAGCACTTTTAAGTGCTGAAACTGATTTTATAAATAAGCAGTTAAGTGGTTGGATAGAAGTACTGAAACTGATAATAAGCAGTTAATGTGTTTGGTAGAAAAGAGCTGATAAGCAATTTTTTATGTTAAATTAACTCAAATACCCTTATGACTGTTCCCACTAACAGAAGATGATTATTGCAAGAATTTTAATTCTAAGTTATTTCAAATGAGAATTATTTTATGTTTCAATTTACTTTTTAGTTCTAAATTTATCAGATAAGGTTGTTTTAACTTAAATATAAATTATTTTGTGATAACCAAATATACAATTATTAATAAGTTGTAGGTTTTTGGTAAATACATACTTAAATTTTGTGTTTTTTTCTAGAAAAAATAAGAAGAACCAAAAACAAAAACAAAAAAATTTCCATCGAGAAGAAAAAAAAAGATGAACGGTTTAAGAACAATAAGCAAAATACAATAACATATAGCCTTTCTTCACTAGGATGGAATAATTCGTCATTTTATCAATGACAGTCACTGCCAACAATATTTGTTTTAACAGTTAAAAAATTGAAAACATATAAGGTCTTTTATTACCCAACACTATAAGCTAAGATCTAACAAAATAATAGAGAGATTTCTCAGTTAAAATATCATGGTATAGCCAGTTTTCACACTGGTCAATGAAAAATAGCCAGCGTTTACCAAGTCAATGAAAAATAGCCACTATTTTGCTGCAACAGGGACCGGTCCAGTATAATATACGGGAGTTCTGGTGCATTTGTGTACGAACTCCAGCATATTATGCTGGACCGGTATACTTTGCTAATTCCTGTAAAATTTGCGGGAGACTGGAGCACCAGTGCTCCAAACTCCAGTATATTATACTGGACAATTATACTTGCTGGAACTCCCGTAAAATTTGCGGGAGTTCCAGCATAATTATGCTTGAACTCCCGTAAAATTTGCGGGAGTTCCAGCATAGTTATCCTGGAACTCCCATAAATTTATGGGAGTTCCAACATACTTATGCTGGAACTCCCGTAAAATTTGCGTGCGTATTTTTCCGGATTTTGAACAGTGTTTTCGCTCATATTTAAAGTGGCTAAATTTCGATGACTTTTAAAACTTGGCTATTTTTCAACGACTAATGGTAAATCTAGCTATTTTTGAATTTCTCCCGACTTTTCATCCAAAACAATACGAAGAAAAACGAAAGTATTGCTGGTCTTGGAAAGAAAAGGGTGGAACGAAGTCGTGAAAATGGAGTGGGTTAGGACTTTTAAAAATGGTTATTTAGGGATAAAATAGTAAAATTATTGGTCAAACTAAAAGTGCTTATAAGCTGAAAATTCATAAGTTGGGGGAGACCAACTTATGGCTTTTAGCTTATTTTGGCTTATAAGCACTTGACTTATAAGCACTTTTAATAGGGGTGTTTATAAAAACCCGAAAAATCGAACCAAACCGAAAACCAAACCAAACCAACCAAAAAACCGATACTTTTTGGTTTGGTTTGTTTTTGGTTTTGAATTTTAAAAACCGATCAAATTTGGTTTGGTTTTGGTTTTAATTAGAAAAAAATCGAACCAAACCGACTATAGGAGTAGCTATTTCAAATTTATTATTACACCTATATATATGTATATTGTTATACAAAGTTTAAAAAATTTTATGGTAAATGTTAATAGTTTGCACTTTTAATATAGTTCTTTACCTTTACATTCTAGTTTGATTGGTAGTTTTCTTTTGTTTAGTGTAAGAATCCATTTCGTGTTAAAAATAACATATTTTTAATTGAGTCCTTAAATTATTCATCACTATTTGATTAAATTATCATCAATATATCTTGGTAAATAATAGATTTCTCAAAGGGTAATTGATTTGATAGTGTTACATTGAAAATGTGGTCGCCGGAATATATGTTTGGTAGTGTATGTCTTATATTTAAGAAAAAACTGACAAATAACCGAAAAAACCGAATAACCGATATAAACCGAATCGAGAAAAACCGACTTAATTGGTTTGGTTTGGTTCTAACATTTGAAAAATCGACTTACTTGGTTTGGTTTCTTTTTAGGGAAAAACCGATCCAAACCGAACCATGAACCCCTAACTTATAATATTTAACAAACGCGTAGATAAACTAACAACTGCTTATAAGCGTTAAAATTTCACGGTATAGCCAGTTTTCAGACTGGTCAATCAAAAATAGCCAGCGTTTACCAAGTCAATGAAAAATAGCCACCGTTTTGCTGCAATAGAGACCGGTCCAGCATAATATACTGGAGTTCGGTGCACTTGTGTATGAACTCCAGCATATTATGCTGGACCGGTATACTTTGGTGGCTCCAGTATAATATACTAGAGACTGGAGCACTGGTGCTCCAAACTCCAGTATATTATACTGGACCATTATACTTGCTGGAACTCCAGTGTATTATGCTGGAGTTCTAGTGTATTTATGCTGGAACTCCATCATATTATGCTGGAGTTCCAGCATACTATCCTGGAACTCCAGTATAATATGCTGGAGTTCAAGTATACTTATGCTGGAACTCCAGCATAATATACTGGACAACATAATATACTGGAGTATTTTCTGGGTTTTGAACAGTATTTTCGCTCAGATTTATCTTTACATAAAAGTGGCTAAATTTCGATTACTTTTGAAATTGGGCTATTTTTGAACGACCAGTTATAAATTTGACTATTTTTAAAAATAACCCCTTATAAGCCACTTTGACCAGCTTACAACATTAGCCAACCTAGCCGCAGCCCCCACTTCATCTCTCTCACCCTCTCATCTTCAAGCAGTCACCTTACAAACCCCTTCTTCTCAAAAACCCAATTCCATACTTTCTTTCTTCTCTGCTCTCTTCCTTTTTTCTGAATCTTTCTTTATCTTCTTCTTCAATTGGCTCTCGACTCGTGCTGCCCTCTCTGACTTCGATCAATTGGAGAACGATGTTGAAGTAGCTGAAAAACCCCGTTTTTTTTAAGACCTTAAACTCACTGGAAATGGCGCAACTTAAAGAAGCCAAATTTCAAAAGCCGCTGAGCTCTGAGAGTGAAATCCAATTCAAATGAGGCAGTGGACGATCCCTTCCGTCTTGTTTCTGTTATGTCTTCTTTTCCTTCTTCCAGAGCAAGGTAAACTAGGGCTTATGTTTAGCTTCCTGTATTTTTTGAGATCTCATGGAATTTTCTTGTTATATGTATGTAAGACTGCAATGTCATTTTTGAAATAGTTTAATTAGATGATAAACTAATAATGTGTATCGAGCATTGGGCAGTAAATTTGCCTTAGGCTTGGAGTTTCTGAGGCATTTTTAGTCTGGTGTTGCGTTGAGACATTGCTTCCATAATTATTTAAGGAATTACTTAGTTGATTGATTGATTGAATTGCTTAGTGGAGTACGAACATTACTGTTTTATTCTGAAGCATGATTTTTTCACTCACTAGGTCGGAGGATACAAGCAAATGATTTTTTCACTCACTAGTGTTGACAGTGCTGCCCTTGCCGGCCTGTTCGAACGTGCTGGAAATGTCGAAATGGTTGAGTTGGCTTTCAAGGTTAATCGAATTTTAAAGGGGCTGGTTATTGAGTGTTTGTTTTTCTACTCATTAGGTATGTAAACATTCCCCTATTTTCACTTGTTTGAATTTATGAATGAAGTTTGGTTTGCTCGTATTGAGTTTATATTGTTTACTTAGATTCTGATTGTAATGATTTCTTATGAACTGAATATATCTAGGATGAGTTGATATAATGCTAAAAACAGAATGTAAAATTTAAGAAGTGACAAAGAAAAATTATTAATTGTAAAGAGTAATTCCATGGCTTAAAATTAATTATGTAAATCCTAATATTCTTCTACTGGTTTGGATTGTTATGTGAAAGTTCGGGTCCGCAAGGATAACCCAGTGGCTACCCTCGCGCAAATTAAATGGGCCCTGCTGCATACTGCCCGGCAATTTTAAGGCCATAATGGAAGGAGATCTCTGCAATCCATGATGGAATGGAGCATGATCAAAGGGTAGTGCGCAACTGTGTTATCAAGGGAGCTGTAAATGGTCATGCACTTTTCAACGAGGTGAAGCTTTAACATTACCCTGTTCTATGGCTGATTCTCTGCCTCTGTTTTGTTATGTTTATGACCTTATTATCGCTATCAAGGTATTCCTCGTCCTCCTGATTGTGTATTTTCACTTTGAAATCAATAAGAACATACTTATTACAAAGTGATTACATTTGTTACTGCTGCTTTGAGCTCGTTTAAGTTTAAACATTTGTTGCTGCTGCTTTGAGCTTGTTTAAGTTTTAACATTTGTTGTTGCTGGTTTGAGCTCACATGAGCTATGTCATATTTGGAAGTTGTACTAACCTTAAGACTACATATTTGAGCTGACACGAGTTACGAGTGCAGTAATCTCATAAGTTGAAAAATCATTGGCCAAGATAAAGACTAGAAGCTTCATGTGAATCTGTTTTCATTTGGATGAAGTATACTGCACATAAATAACGATTTAAGCATGTAGTTTTCTTCAAGAATTGTTTCGGCCTTTTCTCTTGAGATTTACTTGTCAGTGATTTAATGGTTGTGAATCTGTTTTCTCTTTGAAGAACCTGCAACTGAGTTTGTTATCATTAAGTCTGTATGAATAAAGTTGAATGGAAACCGTGGCTTTTATGTTAATCAAGTGGGTCCATTGGATGATCTATCAAATACTAGATGTTATGTTAGGTTAATTGAATGCCATTGTGTAAGTGTTCTTTTGTTTTTTCCTTTAAGAATTGTTTCCATTTGACATGCTTCACAAATGGTTGAATGAACTTTTGAAGGTGTATGTGAATGATTTGTTTCTTGACCATGTTTTAGTCATCTGAATTCTGTTGGGCGCATTATGTTTCAGGGCTACGGCATTAGTTTTCTCATTACAAATTATCATTGTGAAGAGATGCAGAAGCAGAAGCTTATTGATTTCATAGTGCAATTCATGGAGGTACACTTATTAATTCCCACCCTTCCAAGGATAAAGTAGCTGTAAAACCTCTGCATCAATCACTTACGTAACTTATTGATATTTATTCAAAGAATTTTATGAATCTCTGCTTGAAATTGTAGGATATCGATAAGGAGATCAGTGAACACCCGAGGGAGGCTTGTTGCTAGGATATTGAAATTTTATGAATTTTATGTTTTATTTTTCTTTGTTTATTCTCTGTTTTCTGTATTCATTTTTTTGTCCTCTATTTGAAGCTAGGAACTACAGAAATTCTCTATTGTATTGCATCAATGAGTTCCCTTGGAAGGGTGAATACTCAGTTAATGTTTGCAACGGGTTGTATTAGATATTGTAGTGCTAAGTTGTTTGCTTGTGTTGGTTAATCAAAAGGGATCGTTTAGTACGAGAGATACTAGATAATTAATCTCGGGATTAAATATGAGATGAGCTTATCCCATGTTAGGTTAATTGTTATTAGCATTGTGGTTGTGGTTGTTATTAGCGTTGTTGGTTAATTGTTGTTATTGTTGGTTAATTATGGTTGAATGACAGCTATGTAATGTTGTCATTATAGGATGGATATTAATTGTAATTGGCAGAAATTCATTTTTTTCCCCAGAAATTCAAAATTTCCGACCGAATAAGGTCGGAAATTATGAATTCATATTTATTTTTTAAAATAAATTAACAATTTATAACTAATTATTTAATTAAATAAAATTATTATTTTTTAAAATTTCCGACCGAATTCGGTCGGAAATTGAAAATTAAAAAAATAAATTAATTTAATAGTTTCCGACCGATTTCGGTCGGAAATTTGAAAATTAAGAAAAATATATAATAGTTTTTGACCGATTTCGGTCGGAAATTAAAGTTTGACAATCAATCAACGTATTGAAGCGTACACGTTATTTTCCCGACCAATTAAAATCAGTCGGAAATAGCGGACTGGATTTCACTGTTTTTTAGTAGTGATATTGTTAAATACTGAACTTATGATCTTATCATTCTTGTCCTTCTCATTCAAAAGCCTCTGCACAATGCCTACGTGATCCTTTAGCCTTTCTAGATCAGTGACATGAAAAGGTAATAATTAATTTTTGGATTTCAAATATATAATGCTTACACAAATGAGTAGATTTCCTTAATTTTATTCATAAAGAATCAGTAACTATGCAATTTATAGTAATTTGTGCACATTATTTTTTGTGCTTCATTTGTTCATACAAATTTGTCTACCGGCTAAAATGTTCACCTGAACTAAATTAAGTGAGTTCAAGCGCAGACAAAAAAATAGGCAACCTAACAACTACGTTAATTTTCCACTTCTTTGGGTTCCATTTTTCTGCTCCTTCAATTTCTTCTCCAAATAGTCACTGGATGTAAGCAACAATAACAGTAGTATCATCAACTTTTCCTCCTCTATGACTAAATCATTCCTTTTCGGCTGCTTACCAATTTCTTTTCATATGAACCAACCTGTGCATATGACTTTCGATCATCTCTTTCTCTACCCCATTAGTAATTTTGGATTCACTTTTTGCATCCAAATAGTTGGTCTCTCCATAAATGCAAACCAAGCTAATTACCAAGGCCAACGTGCCACGCAAATGACTACAAAAAAGTAATGAAAAGTTTATAGCAAAAAGGATTTTCATTGCACTTCAGGGATAGAACATCCCTTTTAACATACATACTGGAACAAAAAAGCAGAATAAATATGTTAACAAGTTACCAGATCCTACGTTAGTTCAAAAGATTCATCTACTAGCTACGGTTAATCCAACATCTCAATTGTCATTTCATCTTCCAAGACGCGATTATACCAACAAAACAACACAAGATACAAATAACAATCCACTGCTTGAAAACTTTATTTTTCAATTGTTGGGTCACTGCAGCATCATGTACTAGCAAAGTCTCAAGATTCGCCACCTTCATCTTCATAACATCATTTTTCTTCAATATTTCGGTCCCTCCAACCACCACATATTTTTCAAGATGAATTACCTTTCGCTGCAAAGCATTTCTTTCACGTTTAAGCCAATCTTTTTTCCTTCTTTAAATTGCCTATAAGTTCTGTAACTCTAGGCAGAAGCTCATTATCCTCCCATTCCCAATAAATACATTTTTCTCCCTGTCCAAAAATCATAAAACAATTACCACAAATTATTCATTATATCAGTGCAAAAGAATTGAAAAAGGCGTAAATGACATTAAAAAATTATAATTTACATCCGACTTCGAGCACTTGAAGAATCCTCTCCCAGCATTCAAGGGAGTCCAAGCCATCAAATGTGTAGCAACATCACCCCAGTAACAAGTCATCTTTGACTCAGAAGAGACAATAGCACCTTCAGACATTATTTTAGTAGTAAAGATGGAGAACTGACCAAGAAGAGAGGAAATTCAACCCTTCCTAAAATTATTTTCGAAGAGAAGAGATGATGATCCCTTCGGAGCCCTAGCAGCTGAAATAGAAAAAAAAATGATAAAGGGGCTTTTGATTTTGTGGGAGGGAGGGGGGGGGGGGGGGGGGAGGGGCAAGGAGAAGGGGTAAATAATTGGTAAGTAAATAAACGGGGGTGCTGGTAACTAAATCTACGTGGCAAAAGAGGTGCTGAATAATAAGTTTAATTATTTTTAGTGGTCCGTCGTTTGAGTAAAGGGTATTTGTGGTTCAGTTGAGCAACGACAAGAGTATGAAGATGCCTAACTATTAACGGAGGGTATATTTGCTCCTAGTCGTAAAGATTAGGGCTATTTTTGGAACATTTCCGTACATATATTAATATCAAATGACTTGGACTTAAAATAACTATTTTACAATTTTTATTTTATAATAGAAAATACTGTTTTATTTGAATTTAAATTTTGAATAAACGGATGCATTTGTTGTAAAACAACATGCCTTATTTGAAAAGGTTTGGTAGTTGCTTATAAATACTGTAACTCCCAACGAAGTGGCTATAGAAAAAGGAAACTATCAGCTATATCTATTTATAAGTAGCTTGTCACGATCCAAAATTTAACTATTCGTGATGGCGCCTAACCCAACCCGCTAGGAAGCCAATTAAAAACTATCCATTTCAATGTTATTTAATAAGACAATTAAGTAAAAGAAAATATCTGAATCTTATACATTCCCCAAGGAATAGTAGTACAAATCATGAGCGTCTAAGATTTAGAATTTACAAAGCTGGTATGAAATAAAGTGCATCATCTGTTTGAAATATACATGAACAGATCTTTCATAAGTCTAGAGCTACCATGAATAAAAGGCAGCTATAACCGGAACGCAGGTACGTCTTCAATGCTAGCTCCATCATGCTACCTCATAGTCACTCAGTCCTCACACCCACTCAGTCCTCACAATCACTCAGTCCTTCCAATCACTCGGCACTTGCACTTAGTAGGTACCTGCACTAATTGGGGGTGTGTACAGACTCCGGAGGAGCTCCTTCAACCCAAGCGCTATAACAAGCTATTCATGGCATAAATCAGTAAAACATGCTACGGTGTGAAGCCCGCTCCCATCATAAATTAAATCCTCATAATCAGGCCCTCGGCCTCGCTCAGTCATCAATCTCTCCAGTATCTCGGGCTCACAATGTCATGAAATCCGCCCAACAATAATGATGTAATGTATCAGTATGCATATGAATGCGTATGACTGAGTATGTAATTTCAATGTAAGCAGATAACTCAACAGCATAAATGACCTCAGTGGGTCCCAACAGGATAAGCATGTAGCCTAGACATGGTTTCTAACATGGGTCATAGCTCAATTACTCTAGCACGTAGAGATTTCATGGATACAAATAAGATTAGAGGACTATACAGTACCATAGAAATAACCGAGTCTCAATTCACACGGTGCACGCCCACACGCTCGTCACCTAGCAAGTGCGTCACCTCAACACCAAACGTATAACACGTAATTCGGGGTTTAATACCCTCAGCACTAAGTTTAGAAGTGTTACTTACCTCAAACAAGCCAAATCCAATATCGAGCAAGCCAAACGATGCTCTAAAAATGCGGTCTCGCGTGCACCGACCTCCGAACGGCTCGAAACTATCCAAAAGCGACTCAAATACATCAAATAAGGCCAAAGGAAACAAACTTAATCGATAAATATCGAATCTTTAATCAAAGCCAAAAAATCATCCCAAAAGTACAACCTGGGCCCGCACCTCGAAACCCGATAAAACTCACAAAATATGACAACTCATTCTGTTGCGAGTCCAACCATACTAGTTTCACTCAAATCCGACTTCGAACTGATGTTCAAAACTCAAGAATTCGCTCGATGAAACTTTGGCCAAAACCCCCAATTTCTCTCTAGAAATCCTCAATTAAATGCCGAAAACGAAGATAGATTCATGATATAAAATAAAAAATAAGTAGAGAACACTTACCCAATCCATATGCAGAAAATTGCTTCAAGAATCGTCTCAATCCGAGCTCCATAGCTTTAAAAATGCAAAAATGGCCAAAACCCCGAAATCGAGTACTTTATAATCACTGGAAAAATTAATGAATCGCGATTATGGATGCACACTCGCGATCGCGAAGAAGAAAAACAATGCTCCTAGAATATGCCCAGCTGTGCGATCGTATCAGTAAGCTCGCGATCACGATACACACAGCTGACAGAACTATGCGTTTGCGTAAGAAACCTCACGAATGCGAAGAGATAACCAACACTGCCCAGCTCAGTCCCAAACACTATGCGAGCGCGTGCTCAACAGCGCGAATATATACCCGATCATCCAGAAACTTTCCATTTGATCCCATCCAGTAGAAAACCATAATACTCAACATGCTCCTCATGCCGGTATGTATTATCCATCTCAAACCGTGATAGAAATCATCAAGAATTCTTTGGGATCCATTTGCACATAACCAAGCTATTAGAACCAAATCCCTCTAACCTAACCAAGCAACACTGGTCTCTAGAACCCAAGAGCATTTCCACAAAACACCTGTAGAGACTCACCACATCATAAGTATCCAAAGATTCGATCATACCCATTACTGTGTTGATCCAACCTACTACTAAACTGTCCTATTTCTCTGAGTTCCTTCCGGATTGCCTTCAAATTGATAGTTCTCCTTGCTAGGACACCATGATCCTTAACCAAAACCCACCTCACAAACTCTAGCATAGAACCACACCGCCCTAAGACCCATAAGCCGCTGAATTCCCTCTTAAGTACCCCAAAAGTACCACAACCGAGATACACACTCTGAAGAGACCTTCTGCGAATCTAAAGCCGTTTTCCATAATCTTCCTGACACTGAAATGTAGAATCCATAAGGATATAGAAATACAGCGAGTCTCGACACCATCTAATGTAAATCTTAGTTTCTAGCCATATACAAATCCTAAAAATTCCCTATTGCTACATATAAATCTTAAATCAATTAGAATCATTCTC